TTGGTTTTTGCGGTATGGGAAAATTCCCACAGCATGTAAGAGAGGGTGCTATATAGGCGGTTATTTTTCTGAAAAAGGGCAACGTGCAGGAATCGACCAGCGCTTTTGGGCAAAACCTGGCACTTCTGCCGAAGGGGGATGGAAGGTGGCCCGGGTGCGCTGACATTAAACCCATGAAAGAGTGTACTGTAAATCAGAAGTTTCCGATACCTCAAGTACGTCAACTGCCTGGCAAATTACCCAGATCGCCGATCTTCTGGGTATTTAACTCCACGGACGGAAAATCCGCATTCACTGAGATGACAGGTACAAAACGGCGCTTCACAATTGCCCTTGTAAACTCGAGTATACCTGTGTGCCGCTTGGATTTGTTAAGGTCGTACCTGGACTGCGGCAATATGTTAGTCAGGACCTGTATGGGCCTATCAACGAGGGCTCAACGCCTGTCTGCAAGAACGACACCCTTGTGCTCAACCGCACCTTAAACAGCGACACCTTGCGCTTCAGGTTTTTGTGAAGAGCAGTGGTATGTGAAGGTACAAAAGTGCTCGAGACTCGTGAAATTGATTGTGCCTCGGCGACAGCGCACTTTAGCTGCAGGGATCGAGCCAGATGCGGTAAGAATTGAAGCGATCAAGAGGGCGTTTTTTAACCTTTACGCAACAACAGAGATGTTGCATAATTTTGATCAGCTTGCACCTTGTTTTTCAATTTGCTCGGATTGCTGTCCCTTTTCCCGATTCGCTTAGGAATAGAAGTCAATATTCTGGACAGAGGAGGCTGATGCTGCCATAAAAGCGTTTACTAGCGGCCTTACAACTTATCCGGTAGTGGCGCTTCCATACAATGAGTGTCAGTGTTTTCCCCCAACAGCCGGCGCTAGTGACGTAGTGGTGGGTGCTGTTCTCTCCATACAGGCAACTATATTTTTATTTCACAAACCGTTGCTTCTTTTTCTCATCGCTTCATTAAAATTAAGCAGCCATATCCAGTGTGCGAAAAGAAGCTGTATACCGTTTGGTGGGAGCAAAAAAGTGCTGAAACCATCTGGCGGCATCCTTTTGCTGCCCAGAACTGCCAAAATTCTCTACTGTGCCTTATAAAGGGCTTCGAGCAAGCTACTAAGTCTGGGGTTATTGCTGATTTTGGTGTTTCCTGCACAGTACGACTCTGCGAAAACTGTGTGGAGGGCATTACCAACGTGGTTGCCGGAGCGATTTCGCGACGCTTCAGCATTTCACATTTGTGCACTGTAGCCCCACTTCTCAGTGATAATTCGTAGATTTTAATGCACGCAAAATGCGGTGCGTCTTGTGCTGTTGACGCCGATGCATCGTGTACTGTTGCCGAAAAGCAGATTGCCAGAAAGGTGAAGCATTACCATGGCTGAGGATGGCCTGCTGGTTCAGCACAAAATGGGGACTCCGTCGCGTGTACATTCCAAATTTATTCAACATGGTCATTTTGTGCAATGCAGAAGACTATGTCTTATCGGGCCATGGTAGGTTTTCACTATCATAAAAATGTCCTCAAGGTTATTCTGGTGGCCCGGAATGCGTCGTGCAACAAGGGGGGACGCAATGTCATGCCCAGACTGCCAGCAACCGAGGCAGCGCAACTTTCTTAAAACGCACCTTTCGCGAATCCCTTTCTACTTCTGAAGGGATTTAGACTGATCTGACTATGGACTTTATTGTTGGACTACCGGAAGTCAACGGCTACGATAACATCACGTTCTTGTCGACAGGCTCAGCAGATATGCCCATGTAGTCCCTTTCTCCAGGTCTCTCACGGCTCTCCAAGTCGCCCAACTATTCCAAGCCCATGTTTGGATGCTGCAAAGAATTTTTAGGATAATTGGGGATAGGGATTCGAGGCTCGTTAGTGCTTTATGGCTTGCCTTTACGATCCACCCACACATTGACTATAGCATGACCGCTCCGAACCACTGAGGTAGACAGACAGAGGGAACGCACCGACCACATACTTCTGAAGTGATTCCTACTGCATTTCACACAATTCCAATCGCTTAGATTGAGCATTTTTCTGGTGCTGTGTTGGCTTTGCTCTCACACATCCTTGATCCATGCTGACCAGCCCCTCTTCGATCTACGTGTGGACGTCGTGTTACCGGGTTAGCAGCCACTCTAGGCGGCGGGGGGTTCAGAGAACAGCTGGCTCGTGCAGAAAAATGCATGTGCAAAGCTCAAAAGGAAACGCACTGGGTTTCGGTAAGCAGCGATTGACTTTGGTTTTTGAGCCTGGAAACGTAGTTTAGGTTACTGGTCAGGTTCCGCATGTGCACCAGATGATGGCTGGGCAAAAAGGTTTGCGGCACTGGCTAAGAATATTGTCCATCCTCTTGAAAAGCAGTGCTCATACTTCTTCTGTAGATTGTTCCAGACGTTGGAGGTGTCACAAAACTATAGATCCTGATTTCCCTTTAAAATTTCCAAATGGTTCGCGGATATTTGGCAGACATTGCCATGCAGGCAAGTGGCCCGTGCGGAGGCGTACAACTTACACGGAGCCGAAGGGTTGCTGGATCCTGGGAGTGATGAGTGCCGAAAAGAGACTAGGAGGAAGTTACTAGTCATATGGGATGGGGAAGGCTAGTAGCAGTAATTGAAGCAGGCACAATTGCGGGATCCTCTGCATTGGGGAGAAATTGCGGCTCCGTTTGATGCACCGCAGTAGTCGCCACGAACAGTAATTGTCTCTTTTGATTTGTAGTTGCCCTATTATAGCGCACGATCTACCTTATATAGCCATTTTCATGTACTGATGGTGCTTCGAAAGGATCCAGTTTTTGTTTTTTTAGGTCTTCTTCACACCGATGTTTTCTCACAGGCACTCTCGAATGTTGTGTCTACATTCTTCCTTTTGCCTACTTGGGAACTTCGAAATCGACTGCACGCACCGGCTGTGTTTGGAAGCATAGCTTTGTCTTTGAGACACGAAGACATTGCTTAGCCAGTGTGAGCTTGATTTTTTTCGCGCATATCACTTCGAGGCTCACACATTTTCGCGCTCGGGCGACATGGAGCCACCGCGCTGCGTGTTCGTTTAAGCCCTCGTTCTCTGTTGGTGTTTGTGTGCATATCTTTCCTCCCATCTAATTCTCTTTACTTAATGACGCACAGCTTGCTTTTGTCATTCGTACTATTTACGCGTGTGGGTGCTTTTGGATTTGAGAAAAAATCTTTCGCTGTTTAGCTTGCAGTTGGCGTCGACAGCCAGACAGGGAAGTGTGTATCGAAGTGAGGGCAAAGATGTAGGGGGCTAAGCTATACTCGAACAGTTTCTACCAACCAGTTATACCTATCTAAGAGTTTGTGGAGAACTGACCACTTCGTCTGTTTGCGTGCCTTATTTATTGCACTGTACTGTTAGCGCAATAAAATAAGGTGCAGTGCTGTGTGCGTGTGCGCCTTAATGCCATGTGCAACTAGCTGTGATTGCTTGGAATCCTTAGATGGTGGAGCTACGCACACCCTAGCTGTCCCACACACCTTCTGTGGAAGTTTTGCGGGGCGCGAGCAGAAGTAGGAATTCTCTTCTAAATAAGAAGTAACAAGCTTTCATGAAGTGCGTATTGGGTCAGTAGTTGGGTCTGGAAATGAGTGTCTTCCTATGGTAACCTCAAGTGGCACGTTGTAGTGCGCAGCGATGAGCGTCCTAGCTATCTCTTTCCCCTCGTATGGTGATCCTGGAAGTAAAGATACAGAAAAAAGGGAGCTCTTTCGTACGAGCTCTCAAGAATCTCTTATCATTGCATTGTATCGGGTATTAAATGCATCGTACGAAGATCGATAATGGGGCGTTGCACATGTGCTGTAGTCCCGCATTCTTTTTCGCAATGCTCCACATAGTATACGGCAGCCAAGTCGCATAGCATATTTTCGGGTACTCGAATGCGTTGGAAGCCTCATTGTGAAAATGTGAGTTATGGTGGTGCAAGCCACCAGCTGTCTGTGTGCAGACAGTTCGCAGTGAAATTTTGGCGGGCGGAAGAGTAGCCGCCTTCTTACCTGCACAAATAATTTTACATGACGAAGTGATGGGATGAATGTGTGAACAGAACAATTACTTGTGCAAGGACGTGCCTGCTGCTCCGAGTCATGGGCTGCCGAAAGTGGTGTGGGGCTGATTTGGCATGCGCCTCAGACGAAGAAATTCTCACACAATATTTCTGGGCCTCACGACAGTCCTTATTACAATCCATAGAGCACTGCTAATCTCTTTATTAACCTAGGCGTCTTTCAGTCCCTGTTTCGCATGTCAGCAGGCCAAGAACCCTGGGGTTGCTCCTGGGAGACGCTGCAGGCCAAGAAGAATTTCTGGATATCCAACGAAGCTCTCCATTAGGCTGCAAGTCCCTTGCGCTGTGTGAACATTTCTGAGCAGGCGCTGTCACAATATCGCGCGCCAGCATACTGCATTTGACTGCTCTTACATAGCTTGCTCCGCATATTATAGTCTGTCAGGGTTACGGCTAAGTATCAGAATTCATTCGTAGGCAGCTGCCCTATCGGACGGGTGCAGTGGGTAAGGAAGTTGAAGGCATCCGTTGGACAGTTCTGACCTACTGTTCTAGTGAGTACGAACGGAAGCTCGCTCATCTTCAGCCCCTAATCCAAACCACGCGTATTTTTTAAAATGGTTCGACTGGACCGTGTTTTCGGTATCCTCCTGGCTGCTATTGCTGGGTGGTCCGCTTTCCACTACCCAAAAGTCGCTGGAAGCGTTTGCCATCGCCTCGGTCTGCCGGGTGATGGATGCCCCGACCCAAGTGACTTACGGATATACGGTTCCGCGGGGGCGGTAATATATCTTCTTTTTCAGGTCAGTTAAGCAATATGCACCGTCAGCCTAGAGACCAGTGGTAATTTGCAGAATTTTTTGCTCCTCTTTTGTTTTCTTTCCTGCGGCCGGCTGCTCACGCCTACTACATTCTCCATCCTTAGCCTGCTGCTTGTCTTCTTCCTATGGAACGCATCTCAGGGCTTATTCACATGGATTCTTAGGCCCCTTGCGAACCGCCTGCTGCCTCGAGAGTAGGAGGATCCCACTTCTCTGACATTCTCATGACATCTGTGCTGCTGAAGTGTATAGTAGTCTAGTCTCCGAAGCGCTGGTGTCGTTGCTGCCAAACGCTCTTGCCGTCCCGCCTTCCTACACCCATGAAGACACCATAGTAGGGATCAGGCAGACGTAATGTTCCACTCAAAATAAGGAGACGGATCTACGCGCAGGTTTTATTGAGTTCATTGGCCTTGCTTTCGATGAACACTGTTCGCAGCCGGTGGAGTGAACAGGTGCGGCAGCTCCTGTGCTCGCACTTTGGGGCGACGACATGGAAAATGGTGTATTTCTTGACCACAACAGCCATGTGTCTTGTCACCTTTCGCAATGAGCAATGGTGGCCACATCAGCTGGGAGGTGAAGGTTCAGAAGAGCAGCTTTGGCAGGGTCCGTCACTGTAGGGGAACTGATGGCCGAAAAGGCTATGCTTGCACCTCTTCTTCTGGTACTGTATCTTGCATTGTAGGAAGATGAGCTCTGCTTGTACTTTAGGGAGCTTCATGCAGTTGGTGTCGCTGTATCGTGTTCTTCGAGAACCCAGGAACTTGCTTGTTTTTGTATGTATGCACAGGATACCCGATGCAGCAAAACAGCGTGTACTGCCACCTGTACTTCTACCTCGCTTTCGGCCATCATCTCGCCTCTCTTGTTTGTATCCTAAAATCACCTTGGCTTCCGGACTTCTTTGATCAGCTGCTGCCATGCGTCGCAGCTCTGTGTCTCATCTACTTCTCCTACATGAGCAACTTTCTGAGGGTCGGCGTGGTCATCTTATTCTGCCATGACATATGCGACATTTTCACCTACGGGTACCTCAATTGTCGAAATAGAACGATTCGTTCAGCTCCTCGAGCTATTGCCATTCGCCATTACCATTGTTAGATCGCTCTCGGAATGCGCATTTCTCTTTGAATGGCATTTGCGCTCCAGCGTGCGATGCGATGTCTGCCAGTGCGTCTGCTTGGATGCTGTGCATTTGCTTAGGTGCAAAGCGTTCGTAGATACGCCATATCACAAAGTTACCATAGGACTTTTTATGTTGCTAACGACATGCTGGTTTTACTTCCGCCTATACACTTTTCCGGCGGCCGCACTGTTCCCAATATTTAAAGCGATCAAGACTCGCCCTCATTATTCCGAGACAGAAGGGGGTAGCTACTTCATTTTTATCCTGCTCACCTTATGCCTGATGAATATTTACTGGTACGTCCGAAATGCATTCGACTGCACTGAATGAGCTCGCAGCACTAAACTGTGAGCCTACCCAGAGCACGAAGACAGTTTTGTATTTTAATCACCTTATACGCAGATAGAAGTACAGCTATGCGTGTGTGTATATGCAGGTTTGTGTTGATGGTGAAGATGTTTGTTCACTTCATCGTCAGCGGCCAAATGCGAGACTTGCACTCACGCGTTTCCGACGTGGATGACCCAGCGCACCCTCGCACCCGCCAGACCTCTACGAAACCGGCAAAAGCTGACTGAATGAAATATGAGCCTACAACCGTTGTGTTTTGACATTAACAGTTGCAGTGAGAAGTCAAAACAGGCGGATTCGCGATATAAGGAGCTCGACTGTTCTGCCTGTTTAGATGACGAAAGGCAATCATTCCTGTCAGGCAGTTGGGGAGGCTGGCACTGGTATTTGCCATTTGAAGCTTGCTCTCTATGGCGCTGTCTGACGAAAAGATGATGCCAGCGTTCAGTTGCTTGTGCTGCTTTTCGTTTTTTGGCCGTATTCTAAGCCAAGCGCCACCGTGATTGTGTAAGTGGGACAATGGCACGAATATGCAAGGGAGAACGCCTGTACCGTCATAGCTGCCTGTTGTTTCGCTTCAGAGGAGCAAGGTGACGGTGGCTTCTCACCATTTGCCTACGGTTGCCATTTATTGTGTTGAACCGAATTCTTTGGTTCATCTTGGCGTCGAAGGCCCCAAAGTTAATGGGGACTGGCAGTAAAGTGACGCTTTTGCGCTGGTGCCGCGGAAGGGGTTCGCAAGGGGCGGCTTGTTGTGCGCCTTGGGAGCCTGGTGGTTTCGTGGAACAACGGAACGGAGTGTTTCTTCAGTCAGTCCAACTGGCTTTAATGTAAGTTGCGCTGATCTATTTTGGTCTTAGTGAAGCATGCCAGTAGAACTAGAAAACTCTGGGGTAGAGGTATTATAAGAATGTGTTTCGCAGTAGTAAAGAATGTCGCGCTGTGGCAGAATATTTGTTTGCCAATTATGGGTGCTACTTGACGGAGCGCATAGCTGGTATCTAAAGTTAGCCGTCCGGCAAAACGATATGCAGCAGCATTTCCATTTAGCCAGCACGTACAGGAGAGATCCCTCGCTGCATCGACGTGCAGCACTCATCCTGTTCAATTTGTACAGGCCTTGTGTATGAGTGGTGGCGCAAGTATATGTAGACCGGTAACGAGCGCCGCACCGAAGCACATCAGCTATGCGGGGCAACAAATCCACCACCTGAATGTTAGGTAGCACAACGTGGCAGCTAATATTAGCGCCACCTTCAACAGATAGCGCTTCCGCCGTTGTGATCCTCACTCGTGAGATAGATTGTGTATAGAGGTGCCTAAGAGGGAAAACTGAAGTCGGACCGCCGGCCTGACTCCACCATGGCTGCAACCTTATAAACCTTGCTATTTGCACACGATCTTGTCACCCCTCCGTCGTTCGGTACAAAAATTATTTTCTGGATGGAAAAACTACAATTGTTACGAGCTGTTGATGAGCACGGCGTCAGCTCCCAATCGGAGCCCGTTTCAGGGCCGCAAAAAAGCAGACGCAAAGAATCCTCTAGTGTACGCCATGGCCTATCACACAGCCGTTACCCTGTTATTAAATGTAGGGGTCTTTTTGGAAGCACATGCATCCACACATGGATACCCAATCCTCCTGCGGTATTTCAGCTCGCCGCAGACTGCAGATTAAAATGGCAGATTCTGAGCTCACGATCCACGTAGACGGCTTGCACATATCTTAGCGTAGACCGCGCCTCAGCGTTAGTTTTGGGGCGCTTTCATTCCCTTTTTAGCGAGCAAATCAGCTAAAAGATAGCGGTTTGTGAAATTGAAATCGCACCTGACCCTGTCAACCCCGATCTGGCGAAGAGAACTTGAGCTAACGTCTTCCCGTCTTTCCGTGGCGCTTCTTGCCTTTTGCTTTGGATAATTTCTTTTTGGGCTTCTTTCCCTGTTTCGTACTTTCTTCTGCTCCAAAACAACCCTGTGGACCTTGCGATCCATCTTCACTTTTGTCGGCCATATGCTGCTCTATTTTCTGTGCCCCCGTTGGGGTGAGCTGTACCTTACCAGAAGGCTCTGTCAACTCACTCGTGTCGTGGGCTGGTTGCAGCTTACTCTCTGATTCGGCCTTTTCCTGGCTGTGGGGCCTCTTCCCTTCAGGCGTCGTATTTGAAACTACATCGGAATTCGACGAGAGATTTACATCATTACTGTGCCCATGTGTGGGTCCCACTGTTGCCTCTGTTTCCACATTTAGTATGTTCTGACATTCAAGCGTGCCCAGGCTTCCACCATCCACTTGAATTTGTTCTCCCACTTTCGTGCCATCCCTTTCACCTTCACCATTCTCTTGTTTTCCGGCACTCGACCCACTCTGCACGTTTACATTGTGACCATTTTCTTGTGCTGTAGGGGCGAGGCACGCATCTGCACAACATTCCGGAGTTCGACTTTCTTGATCCGTGGATGTGTCTTGGGAGGAATGACGATCACTTGTTGAGTGGGGCTTTTGTTCTTCCACTAGCCCTGTTTCTTGTGACAAAATGCGGTCTTCCTCACTTGGCGTGAGGATGTGGTTGTCCTTGACTTCCTTCACAACGTCAACTCTTGCAATCGCTTGCTGAGGAGCAGTTTCTATTTCGCATAGAGGGTTGATCCGCGATTCAGATGATGGCTGATGATCATTTTTTAGTGTAGCAGTTGCATGAGACACAGCCTTGCCAATCGCTGTACCGGCCGTATCATGTACTGGATCTTGGCCTCCAGTTATATCTTGAATAATCCCCTGTAAAGACTGCTGGGACTCAACTGCGGCGGTGACCTCCACAGTTTCACAGACCTGAAAAGCTGTCTGTACAACGGGTGCCTTTGCGACTGTTGTTTCCTCGCAGCTATTTCGTTCGAAATTCCGCCGTGCGGGTAATGTGGCCTTCTCCTTGCGCGGCTCTACAACCGCCCGGAAGCCCCTCCAGCATGCACATGGTACAAATCCTCTAAATGTCTTCATATTATATCGTGGCGAATATGTGCGAAGGGGCTTGCGTCAGTCTCCATCCAAAACCTCCCGGACGCCTTGCTCCTTCGAGTCGACGGCGCACCAAAAACCGACCACACGCGCCTGCAGACACCTACGTTTTTTTTATATGAGGACAAGATTTAGGAGACGTTCCCTGCAGTTTAAGAAGGGGAAACACTTGTGGCAGAGAGTCTTCCAGAGCGGTAACAAGCAAGCCTCGCAGTGAGTGTAGAGATGGCACTAAGGACCCCATTCCAGAAGGAAGGCTTGAAAGTTATTCCTGGACCGACTTCATAGAAGGACAAATATTCTGAGGTGAGAAGAAGGATGCTTGGATGGGCGGAAGAAGAGTGCTTGCGTCGAAGTACAGAGGCCCTTCCTGCAGGAGTGCTTGCTCTGGACGAACTGCTGTCCTTGTGCCGCCTGCTCAAAAGCTCCAATGTGAATGAATAAGGCTTCTTTATCCAAGGCAAATAACGCGGTGTTTTTAAGTTTATTGGTATAAGGGCGGGCTGCCTTAAGACGGGGAAACATGAAAGACACCCAATCGAGCACATCGCTCGCGGACGACAGGCAGCAGAAAGTGCCCTGTTGCACGGCGCCGCAAGCGGCGCATCATCTCACTCGCAAAACTGTCGATATTATGATCATATGCCGGGAAACTAGGACTTTGGTGCTGAACAGAACCCTGGGAGAACTACTTGCCAGTGCCATTCATGGCGCTAAGCAAATATAGCTAGTCCGAAAGAAAGTAGACACCCCAAGATTAAAAATCGGCCTTTCCCTGCTGAGGCGGCGAAAAGAGAAGCAATAAAGCCTTAATGAGTCGAGTTCATATCATCCCCAAGCCGGGCGGCGGATGTTTCCCTACTTTTTCGGGACTCTTGTGGTCTCTTCATTCAGCTTTGACCTCCTACGTTTATCCCTAACCCGCACGGCTGGACAGGCATGGTGAAGAATTTTGTCGCTCCTCCAAACATGTTTTGTAACGCTACCCTTCGGGTCACAAAGAAGAGGTTTACAGGCAGAAGTGCATCCGGACTTTTTAAGTGGAAGTTTTGTGGCCCAAAGCAGCAACTCCTCATCTTGCCCTGAAATCACCGTGCCCTGGTTCCGTGGGTGAAGGAACAATGATGATGATTCTAGCAGTACGCTTTGACATACTATGCTTGCTCGTATAGTCTATTTCAAGGGAATTATACCAGAGCCCCAAAGTTCCGGCATAAAGAGAGGAAAAACTAGTGTTGGAGTTGCTGCACACTCCAAGCCTTTCGAGCATTTACCTCTAGTTGTATGTAGCATCTAACACGCAGCAACACAAGAGCGGGTCTTATTGCATCAAAGGATAATTACTCTAAATCCGAAACATGAAAAGACAAACCAGATAGTCAAGCATGTACTGATTCTTCATTGTAGACCCGCAGTTAGAAAATAGAGTAGTTTAGGCTGCCTAGATAATGTGTAGTCAGACAGCTAGTGCAACGGGCTAATCTGGTCATAGACTGTTATCCATGTAATAGCTAGCGTATGAGCTATTTTTTGCAAGAATGAACACTGGCTGTAGTGGTAAAATGTTCTATCACCTGTGAAGTAGTGCACTGCGGTCTCTGTATCACTCCATTCAGGATCCTTTAGGGGAAACTTACCTCAATAAGCAATAGAGCTGCACATATTGAGTATCTTTCGTAAATGTTTACTTTTTAGGGTTTTGAAGGTGAAGTGTTGCACACTCTGAGGCCTCCGAGCATTCGCAGCTTGTTACAACCAGCAATTCGCGCTGACACACAAAACATTCATTCGTATTTTATTAAAGCAAAGGTTCTCTGCAAAAGCATATAGCAGCGAAAGGAAAAAATATAATAGCATTGTGCTTGTTCAGATGCTACCTGTCAACACACCTGCGCCACCTTCCGTAGCGTATCAGCACCAAAACATGGTCGTGCTTAAGAGGAACTGGTCCATCCCTGCACTTTATCCTTTTTCAGCAAATCATCCGCGTATATAGCACCCTCTGTTACATGCTGTGGGAATTTTCCCATACCGCAAAAACCAG